TTGTCATCATTTTGATCATCTAATAGATTTAACATTCTTTTCTGGTATAAAGTTCAGCTCAAATTACTTAAATTGTATTTCAAATAACCTGAGACGTCTAAGCTAGTAGATTACTCCATCTTTTTCACCACATTTTGCAATGCTTTTGTTGTAAGATTTTTTTCTTTTTTCATGCAGTTGTTGCTGCTATATAAAAAAATTGAATGCTTGAAACATTTTTGTTGTATTAGGATCAATTTTTAGCTTATGTACTTTGCCTACTTTCCTTCATTGTTTTCAATCATTATCAGTAAATTCAATTATTTAATATGATAAAATATTCTATCTATCCAATCCAACATTTTTATCAATCCTCATTTTATTTTTAAATTCAATACAATCAATTCCATGTTTTATCCAAAGAAGATGGACTAATAATGTGCAAGCATCTAAAATATTATTAAGATAGTTGATCATCACCTCAAACTTTTCACAAGAAAAATATATAGCACGCTTTAAAAAGATAATTTGATGATCAAGTCCAAGATAGCAAGGTTTGTACAAAACTAGCATGGCGCACACACAAGAAGCTAGTATGAAGGAGATTGAAACATAAAAAGCAATTAATAATCCTCCATGCTTAGAGTATTTCTAACAATCCGTAATTGATATTGGTAAAGTGCAAACAAATACTTACACCTCAAATCTGAAGATCATCTTAACAATTGAAGATCCAATTGTTTTCTAATCTTCAATCAATCTACAAAGCTCACATCTATAGAAGTCTATAAAGATCTTTCATCTTAGAGTTTTCAGATCAAGTTCACCACCTATGTTGCATATACATAAAGCTAGATGCCTAGAGAGTCTAGGCATCTAGCTCTTTGTGAGAGTTGTATTCTTTGATGATCACTTCTTGCTATTGGCTTATTAAAATTATGTCACATCAAGTTTGTCTTCAATCATTCACTTGTGTCATAAAGCAATATGCAAATCTCCATAGCCAGAAAAACTAATTGTGCAATATGCAAATCTCCATAACGAGAAACTCTAGATAGCAAGTTGAAGCACATTGATATCATATGAGAGATTAAGTTTATGATATGAAGGTTGATTTTAAGAAGATTGACAATGAACTCAGTCCAAATGATCAAAATTACTACTTTGGAAACTTTTAGGAAACATTTTACTACTCTTCAGGTTTTGCATTATGAACATAATGTACTAGCATTTCTTTCATAGTAATGGTTGCAGAACCCCAAACCATGAGTCAAGCGGGAGATTGTTAGTAGTTAACTTAGACTTTGTTAATTATCACTAGTGTTACTCTACTTAGTAGAACTAGGACTAGTATGTCATTATATATGAAGTAATAGTAGCTCTCTTGGAAAAAAATTTAGAGTTTCTAGTTAAACTACTTGTGTTTCCTTGGACGAAGTCTTAGTGAGATGAAACACTTTTTTTTTCGATTTTGAGGGTTAGTAATTTTTTCTGCGTGATGTATTCCTAGCCGTAGCTTCTTGTATTGATTTTTTCACCGACCTATTTTAGTTTGTGTGGGGTCCAACGGAATGCCATTTTTTCTAATTGTGACACATTGAATTTGGAGAGTTTCATACGAATATTGTGAGAATGAACGTAAATTTTGAAACAGCTTTATGTGATATGTAATTTGGTAGTTGTAGGATGTAAATCGTGGGTTTGTAATAGAGATTTTATCTATCATGAGATTTAGATGAGACATAAATAATAAGTCTCATCTAAATATCTTGACAGAAAAATCATTTATTCTGACTGAAGTGAAGAGTTATGTTCATTCTAATAAACTGAATCTAATATGAGGTTGACATCCGTCGACAAGGGTAATGTTATGCGGGTGTTCAATCCAATGCGGGCGGAGACGAATAAGAACATGGACGAAAGTCATCAAAATTCACGGGACCTTTTGAAGTGTCACGGTAAGAGATCTGTTCAATTGTATGGAAGCTCACTTTCTATGAAACCCATGTCCACTTTGCACAATAATATATTGACCTTAATGCCGTTAAGTAAAACTTCCAACTATATAAGTTGTACAACAGTTTCTTAAAACCGTGAATTAGTTTCCTATATTTTAATCTTAAAGTCTCCGTGCAATCCAGGATAAGAGCGAAGCAACATCTCCGTTACATTCCAACCGAGAAGTACTGCTTTCTACTCTTGATGGATAGCTATGTAGCACTCTTCAAAACTAAACATCTTTACAGAGTTTAGTTGTGGGTCCGAGTATTTGCGATTTACTGAGCTGAAAAGTTTCTGTGAATATCAAGCTTTGCTAGTCCAGAAAACACTTATATTGGGGATATGTGATGTATTATTACACTCTTCTATTCAATCACATCTTACCTTTGATACCCAAGACGTGTCTACCGCCGTTCTACAGAATGCACGACTCTAAAATGTGCGAAGAAACCTGAGTCCTCTAGCCATTGCACAAAGGACATTGTGGACTGACAAAACGCTTGTCGAGCAGGTTAGGAGAATCTTTTGTCACATGCCCATGGCGATTTGGAAACGAGTCTAGAGCACCATGGCTCCCCTGCGCTTTTTAATCCAAGAGCACGTGCTCGATGTGCCGTTCACTTTGGAAACCTCACCACTTGCGAGGATGTAAACATGTTTATCCTCAAGCTCATCGAGAAGCTGACTCAGAATACAGAGTACCACAAGGACCAATCGTGGTGGACGCGGGATGGGAATTTGAGGTCAGATATTCGTTTGCACCAGGTTGCAAGATACTCTTCCCGTGGATTATTTTGAAAACTTTGACATTGAATCGATTCATCGGTTGTTCCACGACTTGGGATGTCAGAAGATCTTTTGGTAGAACAATTTGAACAGAGATTTCAAACGAAAGATAAGATATCATTTCACCCATGGTTCAATGATGGAATCCAAAGCCTAAACGAAACTCGTGACCCAGGTCAAAGAGACAAGCAAAGGCAGCCATGGGAGATTTTAAGTAAAAATCTGCGTAAATTGCTGCTACCCGACAACGAGATTTAGGGTGAATCCAGTACACTTTAATTTGTTCTGAGAGGAAAATCAACACGAGAGCTAGCAAGTCACGGGACTCAAAATGCCAGATTCTGCCATGCGATTTGAGGTTCTCTTGCCACTCGAAACCAGGAGACAAGTGCAGAATCTGCTACTCAATCTTAGCTTCTCAGATGATTTCGTTCTGTTCAGACATGTGCAGGTTTTCTCTATTCTTAGACTCTTCCGTGATATGACCCTATATCTTGGAACATGCACATCCGATGTGCATGTTCTAAGATTCTGGAAGATTGAAAATTTTGATACAAAGAGTTCCAGGTAAACGCCCTATCATGGGACGATTGAACATGCAAGGGATCTACAGTCGGTTCTTTGAAACATGTGCACGTTTAAGATTCTGGTGTTGATCTTACTCTAGATATTGCCACGGATTCTTCAAAAGACGTCGAAGCTGGCTGATTGCATCGGACATGGGCATCGCCGCCAATTTGTGCATTGACCTATCTTTACTGTGGAGAAAGTGTGAAATATTTCGAAAGCTTATGACAATCGAGAACCCGCCCGAACAATATTCTGCTGGGACGACTGATGATGCAGAAGTCTGTGTACATGACATGTACAGATAAGAGGTGGCATTGTTTTCATGTCAGCATTGTTCACCAGGACTTTAATCATTACAAAACCGTTTCCAGCACAAAATGTGCCGGGTTGGAGATCGAGCTCTCAGTGCGCTATTCTGATTGATTGAAGGTCTACATGTGCGGTTATTATAGTAGAGCCTTGTCAAGGGAAGTGAATCACAGCTCTGCATGAAACGCTAGGTAACTCTACTGGGTTAAGCTTCCGGACCGAAATTGTGGACTCTGTAGGATTCTAAACCATTGTAAACACCACAACTGTGACACAATCAAGCGTAAGACACAAGGTGACAGGGGAGTCTACCCCTGGCGCACCACTACAAATGTCAATCTTATACAATGACGTACGCACTCTTCAAGTCTTCCACGGAGTTGAGATTCCTTGTACTCTTGTACTACGCAGAGTTGGTGATGTCCTTTGGTCCTTTTATCCAGCATTGTTCTCGCAATTCAGCTCCCTTTCTAGCCCTTCTGAATCTCTTTATCCATGTGATCCGCAGAACTTCCTGCAGATTTTGATATGGTTAGCACATCATCATTCTAGAGTGTTGTTTTACTCAGAACTTTGTCCTCACTTCTCCAACAAATGACTGTCGAGGTAATCATCACAACCTTATATGTACTTGCGGACCCATGTGAACATTGCCACTCTAACGGAAATATGCTTCTCCTACGTCTCTACATGTGAAATAAAACATGTATATATAGAGGATTGAACATAGCAGAGGAAAAGCTGGACTTGGTTACGTTAGTAGGAACAATTTTTTAGATGCCGAGGATACGCACTCTAGAATCAACCCCATTTTCCTTGTCTGGAGGATGCGATCAGGGATTGGTGAGTGTGACTCCAACATTCTACAAGCGTATGATAAAGTGATGGCCTTCGTGGGACCATATCTGACACTTTTTGTTTGACACCTGTTCTACACTCTAAGGCCTGCATATGAATGAGAATGACATGTCAAATAGGATAATCACTGAGTTTTATATTGCTCAGTAGATCTCGGGCTTGGATGCTAGTTGTAGTCTATCACTTGCATTCAAAAGTCCCATATCATATGAGCTCAATTCATGCGTTCAAAACCCACGTGGGCGTGTTGTCCATACTATCAGACTCACATCCTTTTCAATATGTGTATATTCACCTCGCACAACGTTGTCATAAGTCAGTTAGGAGAGCACTATGCTACCCCATTCGAGTTTTCGATATTTGTAGTTCTAATATTGTTATTGGAAGGATGGGCTTTTAAATCAGGACGTTACCAAACCCTTTCTCTCTCCAACTCGTTATTTTACTAATCTGGAGTTGTTATAAAGCGACTTACCCTTTCCTGCTGTATTGCCAAGATCTAGAGAGTTCTGCAGATGAAATGGATGATATGGACCTCGTGGACCCACAAAGAGTCAACAGCTCTATAACAAACAATTCCGCACATATATTCTTCAAGATGATCTGGGCTCCACAGCCCTGGACCTCAATTTTTCACAGGAATCGACAACTCCAAAGGAAACGATAATGCAAGAAACATTGTGCATCACCTAGTTGTGACATGGGTCCACACATCCTACTTCGTGATGATCTTTTCACCGAATTCATAACTGTTACAAATCACTGTCTAACACAACTGATAGACTACACCATGGAATCTACTCATCAACTCTTCCCTTTCATATCGGAGGCTGTCCTCTCGCATGAGAGACGCCATTTTCAGATAAGAAAAGAAGGAATTTGGTCAACTTAGTGTCCCCTGCTTGATCTGCCATACGGTGGGGAAGTCCAGCTACTGTAGTAGGTGCCGATAGCGAAAGAAGCATTCTGTACCTACTTTGTTCTGAGACCATTTCCACTTCATCTCCACCATCTGCTTTCGTTGTGTTCCTGCAGGTTTCCATCTTTTCCTCTTCTAAGTGATAAGTAGTATACTTTAGTTTAACTTTGCCACTATGAAACTAGGGGCGCTTCCAGAACTGCTCATCTTCCAGGTTTAGTACTAGCAAGTTCGTGAAACTATGGGCGTGACGGGATCATTGCCACGACTATCACAAGAGCCAAACGAAGCTGGCGGATAGTAACGTGGAGGAGACCATCAAGGCTTCACTCCCAAGTGAGAATGGTGAATTTGAAGTTTGTATGAGTCACTTCTGTTCTCTACCCTGATTAGATGCCGTTAGTGGAGATCCTAACCCTAGACATTTAACTTATTGCAATCTAGTCCTACATACTTGGCTTCACATGTGAAAATATGTCATTAGTTGTGACATCCAATAAAATGAAAATTAAACATCTGAAAAAAACTGAAGTCGCTTCTGTTTGTTTGAATGGGAAATAATCCATATGGGTAGGTTCAAACTCTTTTTTATTCAACGATTTATAGTGAGTATGATTGTATCGACTGTGCTTGTGATTTGGATACCTCTAAATTTATAATTTGTTAATATATATTGACTCGAGTGGATCAGATTCCCTATTCTTGAAGGTAAACACCTTCCAAAATAGGGAACGATGAATGTCACCTTGATGAACGGGCAATTTCTTACGAGAGAAGGAAACTTCTCTCCGGTTGAAGCAAGTGTGCTGTAAGGGGATACAAATCGTCCTTTGGAGAATTCTAAGTGGAGGAATGACCATCAGTTTGAAGAGAATAAGACGATAACATGTTCATATGGTTAGATATTCATCAACTTTATGAGTTGGGTTTACATGCTAAATGTTAAACTTATCACTCTATTGGTAACATGTGAAGAACCTCCACAACCTGCGTGTACAACTTAGTGTGTTTTGGAAAGACACCTCAAGCTGCAAGAAGTTGATAGTAATCAAGAGAATAAAGACGTTAAAAGAAGCTGAATACCGTAGTTAGCGACAGCAAAGAGAGCGGTTTCTTGGCGTAAAAGAAACTTTGCAAACAAGAAGAAACGGTAGTTTCGCCTCAAGATTGGGGTCCAATATCCTTGTTTGCATAATCAGCTTCTTGAATTGGGAATAGGTTGCGAGTGTTACAGATGATTCCTTTTCGCCTAAATTTAGTCATGCTCACCACTTTTCGAATCAGAGAGAAGGGATGATGGGTTTAGAATTTGTATTCCAGCGGGGACCAAGTAATATTGCAAAAAGGATGGGAAGACCCCATCAAGCCAAAGGGAACATTCCTTCGTGGGTAAAAGTGCAGGTCCTAAATTTGCTCACACTGGCGCAGTTGTAGCCACCTGGTCTTCTTCTTTCTTTAGAATGTGTGGGTCAGTCAGTCTACAGCATATTCGCCTGAGTGGAAGTAATGGTGTGCAGGTGAATGTAGCATGAACCTGATAGCAGCTGCATGCACTACTTGATGCGAATGATACAATTCAAACGAAGACTTTTCGCGGATTTTCACGTGTGTTATCCATAATTATCTAAACCTTAAATTCTAATAGAAATGTTCTAGTTTAATTGTTGAAATAACATTGCATCGCTCGATTCTTGGAGGAGTACTGCAGCTAAGAAAAAAAACTGAAAGGACAAAAAAGTGAAGAACCCTGAATCAAACTACTGTCATCCATAAGCTTGATTCAGGAATTTGCTGAATGTGTGTTTTGATGCTTATGGGTACTGTGACTTCAGAAGGACGAAAAAATGTAACTTAATTTGAAAGTAGTCTGTTGTAACTCTATTGTTAGGTAGGCCGAAACCTCAAAACACTCAAGTCTCATGTAGAACTAGCCGTCGACTACTTGTTCCATTCTCATAACAGAACGTCATCCAAAGCAACAGTTGTGCTGAGAGTAAAACACGGCGGTCTTAATGCAGAATATGCAGAGTAGGCGAGTTGTTCTCTCTGAAAGTGGAATCTTAAACTAGAAGTTTTCAATTCCAACCCTATTCCATTGACTAGCATAAGGTTATTCATTATCGCTTATAAACAATGTATTGCATTACTCTCTATACAGCTTTTACCATTTCCTGTTTTTATTATTATTCTTGAATATGCCTCAGAGTAACCTTCACTGTAGTCATAGTCTGGTAATGTTTCCAATCATAACCATCCAAAAAGTTTGATTTTTTTGTGATGGTTGATTGGGTCAAAACATATATCTAAATAAAATTTATTATTTTCAGGTATAAGAAAAACCAGGTAGCCTAAATACCACAAAAACTTTGTCAACCACGGTATTTAAGACGAAAAGTTAAATCTTACATGTAGTGCTAGTTCAAAGAGCCTATTTTTCACTAAGGTGTGTAATTTCAAAGTGATTTATGTGAATCAGCTGTTTTAGGTGTGTCCGGCATGTAATGTCAATATTCTTTTCAGTTTCTTCATTTCTCTCATCGTTTCAGTTTCTATGAGCTCAACAAGAAGCAGCAAATAAATAAATAGTCGCACTCGCCACATATGTCAAACTGAACATTGATTTATGACATCAAATCTTGCTCTATGATTTTCTAATGTGCGTGGCAAATCTCAAGTACCAATCTTGGTGAAAGGCTGAACATTAAGAGCAGGGTTACATGATTTGAACCCATTTCTAGACAGACCAATTTTTTCGTTTCGAAGAAATTTGTAATTTCTCAATGCTGATTATTAATCGAGAATTGTCATACAATATATATATATATATATATAGAGAGAGAGAGATTATCCTTGGAAATCGTGGTAGGACTTAGCAATACGTTCTAAACTGCCGGGGGAGGGTTTTAGGGTTATAATTACTTGTTTGAAAATTTTAACTTGTGAGGTATGGAACTGTTTTGATGGTTAGAGTACATGAGCAGAAAGAATCAGTATCCTTGTGGGACACCGAGAACTCTGGTGGTGGGTCTACGAGAAGATGACAACCATATTTAGCAAGCTTCGCCGCAAGCAGGGTCCAGACCGAGCCCGCTAATGCCCCGACGGCCAACCAACGGACAGGAGAAAGAACAAGGAACGCAACGAGAGGGAGATAGGCAGTGCAAGGTGAGTGCCTCATCGCGAGGTTATGTTACAAGTGAAGATCGGAGACGTCCGTAGGAGTGCAGGAGAAGGGAGGAACCGGAGCGAAGCTGCAAGAGCGACTGCAGTACTGGTGAGAACTACTGATGTAAACTGTCATACCTGCATATCAAGAAACCCACCAGGTGGCGAGGTCCCTTGGGAGTCATGCCACCCTCTACCTTCCTTCCACTTTTTTTTGCTTTGCTTCTTATAGTTCTTAGAGTCTTTGGAGTCGTAATATGAGATCGGAGCAGCTAAGAGGTTTGAGTTAGTGAAGGGAAAACATACATAAGAAGGGATGTTATGCTGCTGAGGCTATCAGCTGTCGTGCTGGACCCCCCAAGAAAGCGAAAAGCCTACCATCAAGACGAAGAATATCGCGCAGTTTGTCAATTTGGTGTACTTTCAGCATCTACGTACAAAATCTCGTATCTCGAACAGCCACCTGAAAATGATTCTGCGCGTCAGAAGTGTTCCAGACGATCTTCTTTGTGAAGTTGTTAATCTGACTTTCTGGCTGTGTCTGAAGATCCTAGTCGCACAAGACGACATGGCTCAGTTCTTTTCCGGAAGCGGCCTGCACCAGAGAGTTTTCCTTCCCAGCAAACGTAGTTGAGACCACAGTAAAATTTAGGTTTAGCTAGGGCTTCATACTGTTCTAACTCGATTAGATATTTGTTCATTTTATCAACATCCATCACTATTACATTCTGTACATGGAACTTCAATGGTAGTCCCAAGACCCAATCCGCAAAGTTGTTCACACTTGAGGGAACTGCAATTTGCGCAGCCAAACTGGAAAATTGCCAATATATAATTTGTTGTTCTTGGAGTAAGAGAGATTTGCGGCTTCTGTGGCCACGGCAAGAGAGCGAATTCGCATTCTCACCTTTACAGACCACAGTTGCAAAAGGTACATGTATACGCACCTTTTTGCCCTCTTCTTCAGACAATTTGCCACAGGCTTTCACACACACCAAAGAGAAAGTTAGATTCTCAGAGTCTGAGGTCCTCTCTCGAAGACCGAAAGTTGGAACTCAACATTGGCCCACGTGTAATGGTCCCCTGAACCCAGAACCGACAATGAACCCCTCTGTTCCTCGATCTGACTGGGATAGAGCAGTTAACAATAGAACATGGCTGATGAACTCTTCCCAAGCACGTCTAAGAGCACGTCTTGACTTAGAGGAAGAACGACAGGCAGCTTCCTTTACCGGAAATGAAGAAAGACAGGCCAAGTTGGAACTAGAACAAAATTGAGGGCATGATATGTGCTACTGCTGCTGTAGAAGACAGAGGCAAGTTGAGCCTTTAACGGTCATATATGATAGGAAACAGGAGCTGAATAAACTCACGTCGGATCGCGTAAGGTAATTTCTCTTGATCAACTTGCAATTAATAGGCTTGTACCGTGAGTGAACTTTGTGGATTTGTACTGAGATTACTTACTCTAGTTAAGTTATTGATTGTACTCACAAGTGGGTACTGCTTGAGAGAGAAGGGGAAATAGTGACAGTGGCAACGAAACAGTCGCACATGGATAGAACTTGGCATGGGATGAGGTGGTTTATTTGTGCAGAGGGGAACAGATGCCTCATGTACGCCGATAGGACAGGATGCCGGAATCTAGCTGACACTCTAGATTCTTCCTGCTCCCTAATCTCCCTTGAACCTAGCTAATGCATCCATAGTCTCCAGATGGAAGAAATTTGTGAACGAAACGTACGCAGGAGGAATACTTCAGACGTAGTTCATGGGTCTAACTGTTAAAAACTCTTGCTGATTCTAGTCGAACCAGAAGATTCTGAGCTCACAACCCTGTAAGAATCAAACTGATTCTTAGATGGATGACTTACGCAGATTGTTTGTTACATGAGGTAAGGTGAGAGGGGAGTTGTGCTGAGATGAATCTATACATTTTACTTGAACTGATCATGAACGGCTCTCTCGAAATTCTCCCTGCTGTTAGCAGCTGCTCAGCCGCGATTACGAGGCATTTGTTGCGTGGAAAGACGAGCTGGCTCGGCTTATACACTACGCACGTGAAAGTTACACCTCACTTTCACAAAGTCTCGGAACTTTCCATGGATGTGTATCTCAAACGCAGAGAAGAGAGCGAGATGACCACTCCTCTGGGTGTGCCGACCTGCCGCCGCTTAAGAGTGCCAAGGCATATGTAGATACGCACAGACTCTTAGGAATGAAGAGCATAGAAATGATGTCTTCTAGTTAAAAGATGCAGTTATTCACACTTAGACTAATCATATCTGCTTCTTGAGCCCCATCCAAAAGTGACGAGACCCATGTACAACAAACACCATCCTCCCAGCTTCGCCAACCGGATCGGATCCTTCAAATCTCAAACTTCTCCTTGAGATTGCAATACTTCGAACCTGGGCCTATGTCCTGACAAGGTGTTAGCAAGCCAAGGTAAGACTACCTTAGTACTGCTGAAGAAGCAGGAGGAGGAGGCTGACGAGGAGTTATGCCTGCGCACGAATGTCCCAAGTAAAAGCGCCGAAATCCACCCGAGGCCCTTAACTCAGAAGACTCCTTAATACGTTGTGGGCCCTTGGGTGGGGAGAGGCAAATCTTACACATCGACAGCCAGTAAAAAACAAGGGTTCATATCTATAAACAGCAGGAATAATGCTTCGTAGACGGGTTTGACTACTGCTTGGAGCCTACCAACGCCCCAAGGTGGAAGGTGAGACGGACCAATTTCTTCCCAACCTTGGGCGTTGCACACTGTATGTGCTCCTTCCCTCCCTTTTGACCCAATCCTTCCTTGCCAGGTGCCTTGGCGAATAGTCATCTAGGCCCACTCTCCATTGTGAGAAAGAGGCACTTATCCCCGAGAAAGGAATGTGGTGGAGTCCGAGCCTGATCATGTTCAATGCTGATCGGTCAAGGTCAATATTTCGGATCATCTTGACTGGAACACAGTCTGCAGAGTCTGCTTGGAAGCGAAGGGTAGTGGTGATCAATCATAAGTGCAATTTCAAAGCCTGAATCAGGAGTGAGGTTCAGCCTGGCCGGGCCTAGGAGACATTGTCTAGAGAATCCACTTCGGGGAAATCCAGAGAAAGCCAACTCAGTCCAGCCCACTTCCAAAGGGTTGAGCCACTAACCCAAGCCGACTGATTGAAATTCTAAGGAAGTTTGTCGTCATAAGCCGCCCCAGGAAGACTCTTAATATTTGTAGTATCGGGAAGCAGAGTGCCAATAGGTCATTCATCAGAAAATTCACAGGGCCCACAGAAACAAGACAAGGATCTTGTAGGTTCAGCATTATAAATTTACGAATTCAGGTAGCAAAAACTTGCCATGCCATGCAAAGCTAGTCGCAGAGACTGAAAAGTAAGGGCAATGAAAAGAATTTGCTGGAGACGTTGTCTTTGGTTGGAGGAGCGATTGGCGGAAGGAGCGATTGAATCTCGATATAAAATATATTCTGAATCGGGAAATAATACTGATAGGATAAACTTGTTTAATGTGTTTGTCCCTGCTGTTGTTGGTGCTGTAACTCTGTTGGTTGGTATGCCCAGAGCTGCCAGTGGACCGGCTTCCATTTGGCATGTGGATGTGCTGTTCGACATTCGAACCCTCGAGGCAAGTATGTATGTATGTTGACCAATTTAGTATCTGTTGCACGGTAGCACCTTTTCTTCTGCCTGTCTGCCTGCACAAATGATCGTGGTCGGACTTGGAAGCGGCACTAAATGCTCTGTGCGTGTGTTTGGACTTAAGACAGATAATAGTACACCTCTCAATCACAGAATGCATGGGCGAAAAATTCCTTTCTGATCTCCAGCAGAAAACCTTGTTCTTATTCTTATATAATCTTCTTCTTCCGCCTTGAACCCTCTTGGTGTGGGTCCCACATACTGTATTTCTCCCTCTTCCGTCTCTTCCCTCTGGGCTGTGCTTATAAGTACCGTTCCGCTTCTGCCTCACACTCCTTTACTTTTGATCACATCTTTCCGTTCCAACGTGAGTCTCTTTCGTCACACCACGAAATTCTCCAACCCCGAGTCAAAGAGCGCGTGTCACACTTGTTCCTATTTTCTCACATACCAGATCTCTTTCTCTTTTTCTCTCTCTCTCTCTCTCTCTCTCTCTCTCTCTCTCAGAGGCATTTATACATGCTTTTCAAATTCAAAAGTTTGAACACCTTTCTCAGCTGCGTGTAGTCAACGGATCGAGACGCACATGCTTTGCAGTCGCAGCATGCCGGCATCGAATCGACGATCTTTGAAGATATGAACAGGGTCCATGATTCGTCTCTTTGGAGCTAGCTCTTTTTATTGAGAATTGCATGCACACGGCAATTGCAACGACTGATCGCGGTGATCACTGTTAATGTATATCTATGTCCCCCGACATAGTGTTCAATCCAAAATATTTCCGCTTCATTGCAGCCTCCATTGCCGCTGGAAACTCTCCGAACCTCTTCTACGGCAAGGTGAATTGCACCAAAAATGGCTATGGCCACAAGCAGCACTCTCAGCCTTTGTGTGCAAATGCCGCCCTGTCTTGTGGATCCTACGCTCGCCAAGAGTCGATCCTTTCGGTCCAGCGCCACGCCAGATAGCGTTACAACGAAAACCGGTACCAACGCAGGTAAATTCTCAAGATTCTTGTGCTCATGTATTTTCCCGAAGTATGGTGATTTCCTTCACAGTATGAAAGAACACCACATGAATTGACTCAAATATGTCCATTCTTGTCTCCGCTTTTTAGGAAATGCAGTTCGAATCTTCGCAATTCTCCTGCCTTCCGTCCCGGGTGACAATTGTCGCTATGGTGGTGGTAGCCAAACTACTTTCACGGGTTCTATGATGGGTAAGATTTCTTGCCACCTCACATCTGCGTTAGGCCAGCAACACGACTTCTTCGATACATAGATACTTTAACTAACTTCGATCACGTTGTCTGAAAAGATTAGAGATGATATGAATGCATGTGTAATTGACAACAAAAGTGAATGTATTGGAGTTGATTTCAAAATTGACACGGTACGATGAATATTTGCAAATTTTGTAGACGAATATCGTGGCCGGGGGTTGTAACGGCTGAAGTACAAGGAAACTGCGGTGTCCTGCACATGTGTCCTGCAACAGAAAATTGATTCTTCAATTGTGCATCGTGGATAGTTCTAACAGCTCAGCTTTCATTGCGCCAATGTACCCATGTTATGCAGATTTGGGACAATTGACAGCCGGTCTATTTGGCAAAACAAATGCAGCGACATTGCTCCAGTCTGAGCACAGCGTCTCTGCTGAACCATCTTTGTTTGAGGTACAAAATGAGTGCAGATCAATATCCGGTTTCAGTTTATCGTAGTAGTGCACACAGGCTAAGCTATCAGAATTAGTTTTGACGTGGAATACGTCGTACATTTTAGTCATTAGAGCATGTGGATGAGGTTCTAAAACATGGGAAGCTGAAGTATGATGGGTGGTGAAATGTTTATTTCGGCTTTCCTAGCTTCAAGGTTATGCCGAATCACGATGATGGAACTGTTCTAACTGTTCATGCATTTGATCGGCGTGTATTGAACTTTTCTGGTGATTCTGAAATTAATATGGATTGCAGGAGGACACTGCAGTACTACAACCACATCAAGCTGATACCATCAAAAATCTGGTCTCTAATATCAAGCAGTCCCTTGCCTGCTTAACCAAGACTGAAGGGGAAGTGAGTGTGTCTGCATACGACACGGCTTTTTGTGCCCGCATCCCTGCGGTGGATGACCCCAAGAAGCCTCAGTTTCCCCAGTCACTAGCATGGATAGTTGCTAATCAGCACCAGGATGGATCCTGGGGAGATGACCTGAAAGACTGGGTCTATGACAGGATGAATCAGACTCTCGCCTGTGTCGTGGCTATGAGATCTTGGAACTATTGTAACGACTGTGTGCAGAGAGGTACAATGTCATCTGCTGAATGAAGATCCACCAGATATGCATATATGAAGTCCAGCAGACTACACATTGTATTTGTGCAATGGAGTACTAATAGCGGCAGTGTTCTTCTTAATTCAGGTGTGGACTATCTCCAGAGAAACGCCGACAAGCTAGCGGCCGAAGAAATGGAGAGAATGCCCATCGGTTTTGAGCTTGCATTTACAGCCATGTTAGCCGAAGCTCGCACTCTTGGGCTTGATCTCCCTTACGATACACCATTCTTCGATTTGTTGGAGAAGAAGCGCAGGAAGAAATTGGAGAGGTAGGTCGAATGAAAATTGAGGGCATGTGTCGATACGCACATTCAAGTTGTTTGGTTCTCAATAATCAAACAGATACAACTTACCTGATGTTGATGTAACTCTGTGCTTGGATGCAATTCAGGGTGCCACTAGAGCTCTTACATTCTACGCCCACAACTATGTTGCACAGTCTAGAGGGCATTCAGAGTCTGGATATAGACTGGAAAAGACTCTTGAAGTTCCAGTCAGATGATGGTTCTATTTGCTGTTCACCTTCTTCTACGGCAGTTCTGTATATGCACACGCGAGATGAGCAATGCCTTTCGTTTCTGAAGAAGGCCTTAGCTAAATTCGACCATGCAGGTGACGCAGCCCAATCTACACTTTTGTGTACAGCAGATACTTGGAAATTTATCTGACCTGGGGATCTTTAATCCAAGACAAATTCTAATATTTTATTTATGGAAATCTCCCTGTTACATGTGCAGTTCCAACTGTGTACCCGCTTGACATCTTTCACAACCTTTGGGTTGTTGATACGCTTGAAAGGCTTGGCATCTCTCGCTACTTCAGTGACGAGATTGAGAATGTTCTGGCAGCTGTTTACAAGTATGTAATGAAAACTCATATGGACGCGTCTCTTTTTGCAGGTTACCTTTATCAAAAACTAATGTAGTGATACCAGCGTTATTTAAAATTCAATTTCATTGTTACGTTGATATTGTGTAATAGACATTGGAGCGACGAGCAAGGGATCTGCTGGGCGAGCGTTCTTAAAGATGTTCCTGATCTGGATGATTCATCCATGGCCTTCAGACTGCTCCGTCAGCATGGTTACAAGGTTTCTGCTGGTACGTGAATCGTAGAGTACATATGATTTTGTTTTTCACGAGGAATATGCTTACTGGGTATATATTCGGGATTCTACTGCTACAACGTAGATATATCAATATTTGATTAATCTTAATGAAACCTTCATCAGGTGGATCAAACACAGAAATCATCAACGGGTGTAACATAGCAAATTGATCAATTATAGAATGTGATTGATAAATCGACGTTGGATGATTTTTGGGATCATGCTACGCGAGAATAAATTGAAATGTGTGTTGATTTTGTACGTTTTGCAAGTTATTTGTATTTCAACTCTTTTGGTGAGAAAAATTGAGCTTTTTGATTTATGTAAGATCTGATCACCCATGGCAGATGCATTTAAGGTCTTTCACAAAGACAGCGCCTTCGCATGCTTCGCCGTTGGACAGATGGTACAAGGTGTCAGCGATATGTTCAACCTGTATCGAGCATCGCAATTGAGCTATCCTGGGGAGACAAGACTTGACGAAGCCTTAGCTTTCAGCCAACAGTTTTTGACAGATACGCTTACCAGCAACAAAGGAAATGCGGATAAGTGGTCACTGAAGAAAGACCTTGCCGGAGAGGTAGGTTTCAGATTGCCTTGGTTTGCGAACCAGCTTTTTGAAATATCCTGACTGCAAAAGATAATGCATTCCGAAATTGAATAAGAAGCTTACGAAGTTTCGATTGCAGATTCAGTACTCCCTCAAGTATCCAGAGTCTAAAAACCTGGAGCGTCTCGAAGTGAGGGAATATGTGGATAAATATGGACCAGAAGACGCCTGGATTGGAAAGACCATTTACAGGTGGAGTCTATCTCCACGCATCTGAATTCAAATTCCATGCATCGATCTGTTCAGCTCGGGAACTTATTAACTTGGATCATCCTGAAACTGAAGCTCTTTGTTTTCTTTCAACAGGCTTCCTTTGGTTAACAACCCCGATTATTTAGCACTTGCTAAAGCAGACTTCAACCTTTGCTTAGCAATACATCAGAGGGAGCTTCGGCATATCCTCAGGTAATTTCGCGTAATCACGTTCACATTTTACTGAGGAATTAAGAAACTCAAGGTTTTCATTCCGAACTATACTCGCAGAAAATATTCAGAAGGAAGCAGCAGTAGGAAATAAAATATGTCGCCCAGAGTAATCTATCTCTGACCAATACGCAGCCTACTTCCGAAGCAGCGCTTAGTAACAGTCCATCGAGGAACAAACAAGCCGCAAGCAGTTGCGGCCAGCTATCGTGCTGTTGCCAGTTGTCTATGTCTTAAACAGTGCCCTTCCTACAGCAAGTTTAGCTACGCACACACAATCACGTGCCTGGAATTTCGCTCCATGCAAGCTCTCGTCGTCAAGTTCTCTGTCCTTCCCTCTTTTGCATCAGTCAAGGGACGGGCATATATCTGCTCTTCGGCCTGCGTCGCCATGACCTACTCGTATGTTCAACTGTTTCTGAAGATTCTCTTTTCCCCAACTATTCTTTAAGGGGGTCGGGGAGGCTCCGGTGACCTAAGCAAGATTCTCTGCCTGCAGGCAGCTTTCGTCGTTACTCTATATTCTTCTGTTATTAATAGTTTGACCGCTTTTTTCAACCCAACTAACCTGGTTGACAAAATGTTTACATCCGCTAGATGACAAAATACTTCATCTGCCACTAGAAAACAAAGGAAGTGAGTCACGTACTCGTTCGCTGCTCATACTTGATCGACAGCCCCGATCTCGCACGACTTCGCAAACATTCTAAAACAAAATGTGATGTATCAATCAATTTACGATTCTTAACATTTGGCTCTGCGCAGGTGGATCAGTAATTCTGGATTATCGGACAGCCGGAGTGTGAGGGAGAGAATTGTAATGTTTTACGTCATGTTTTCCGCGGAGGCTTGGGAGCCTGAGCTGTCAGCACATAGGATCGCCGCATCCAAGTGCTTGTTCATAGTCCTGGCCCTTCATCAGCTCTTCAACAATCAGTCCACACTCACAGATCTGCGACTATTTCTGAAGGTCATACAAAGGTTGGTCTTATCGATTATGGTAGCACTGCGCTTCTAGGGTCCCGTGTCGAGAGTCTTCAGATTCCACCAGGCAGCTACTAATAAGTGATGTTTATATATTCCAGTAGCTCGAGGTTCCCCTTCGTGATGTTCGTGATGCTGCGGGTAGCTTCACTAATAGTATGCATTATTTCGTAATTCTTCAAGCCTTCATGCTCCTGGAATGCAAGTGAAATGAAGTACCAATTTTATCGTGTATTAAGCAGGTGGGACGCAAGCTTGGTGTTGGATTTGCCCGAGAGCTTTCAAGCATGTTACAACCTACTCCACAACACCCTGCAGGATGCTATGTTAGATCTAGGCCATGAAGACCTGACTCAGCACTTCGTCGATATCGTAAGTAATTCTAGCTTTTCTATTGTCTCGATCGTCAATAACGATTTCAAAGGTGTTATTATTTTGATAACAACTTTGTTTCAGCAAAGTTATCGGTATGGTTTTACTAAAGATGTTCAAAACAATTCAAGTGCTGTAAAGCGCCCGGAAAATTCAATCCTTCAAACTTAAGTACCTCAAGGTAATTATAGAACAGACGTACACAAAGTTAGACTAGAGTATTTCTAGAAACTGATTATCTTGACTTAAAAGTTTCCTAACATATAAAGAAGGCAGATATGTCGGTCACAACCAGTAAGTTATTTTGTGATGAAATTGAACGTTTGGTCACACTGTTCACAGTCTTCATAATGAACTCTGACATTTATGTTGGGATCTCAGTGGGGAGGACTGGTGGAATCTTTCCTGATTGAAGCTGAGTGGAGAGAAATTGGCACAGTTCCAGCTATGGATGAATACTGGAATGTTGCAACTACCACGATAGCTTTAAAAGCAACAGTATGGTCATCTATGCTTATAAGCGGGGAGGTGGACTCTGAGGAGATCACCGCATGGATCAAAAAAGATTGTAAATTTTTACGACGAGCCTCTGAAGCTATTCGATTGGCCCAAGGTTTTGCAGACTACAAGGTATTTATCTCATATTCAAAAATTCTTTTTATATTGCCGTACATTCGGTGATTTTCCTACACCTGACTACATATGTCAATGACATTTCTCTTTATCCTGGAACAGGAAACCAACGACATAGGAAATCATATATCCATGTTCAAATGTTATTTGAACGAGAATGAAGAATTGACAGTTGAGGATGCAGTTGAGCACTTTGAGACAATGCGAGAGCAAGTCCAGAAAGAGCTTTGCATGTACAGGGATGAAGAGAAAAGTCTATCCCAAGAGTGTAGAAAAGTGATAATGAGTTTCACCAAAGTGGCCAACTTCTATTATGATGGAGAATATGTAAAAGAATGCAATCATGGCCTTCAGAGACTGATGGTCAGCCTTGTAGATTAGCTTTTAGAAAGTTGTAATATTATCCATTCTTTACAAGGTCCTCAAGGCAATTTTCTAGGGACCGATTGTCATTGGTGATTACCTGTTCATAAAACTTAGCGGGGAAGCTCTGCATTAGGGCGATTTTGAGATCCCCAACAACAATGACAATCAACTGTACCATTAGAAATGTGACAGATGACAAGTGAAGCATCAATTTCACTTCCCTTTTCGAAAATAGCTGTGTATAGATTGAATCTCCTTGTGATTATCATGAAGAAGGGATTTTTTGTTGCCATTATTTTTTACTCCTTTAATTGGCAAAAGGAATTGAGTCAAAGTACAGTTTCTTATCTGTTTTTCCATCAAATAGAGGACTCACTTACACTAGCTTACAAAATTTGGTCTTTACTTTTTATCTCTGTCAGCAGCGTTGTTTTCTTCTAGCTACTCTGCATTTTTTAAGTTTTAATCGACATCTTAAAATATCATAACATCCACATATCTATCAAACTCTGAACTCTGTCGATAAAAAAAAATTTGTCCGTCTAAACTCCATCAACAACTCTTCCGACTCTTTTGCGTCAGACTAAAACCTTCTTCACCGTACACGCACTTACCACCAGTGTGAATTCAACAGAGCTGCTTCTCCAACTGTTCCACCTTGTTACTTCTTATGACCTCTTGGGATGCATTCATCGGTTTGTCTTTACTTCTTGCCATGTGGTATATTTTTCTGCAGCTTTTCAGCGCAACACCTAGATTTGCGTGCTTTGGTCTTCCATGCGAAGCCCTTGTATCTGCTGATGTACTATTTAACCGATCGACCAAACTTGCTTTCCTAAAAACACGCAGACTTGCGTTTGAGTCTATCATATTACAGATTTTTATTGACCGATATCATAGTCCTCAATGAACTACAATCATTGAGGACAAACAATCGTTTTTTTTCACCAATAATCAAGTCAAATTCAGGAGTATCAGTTAGTAGTCAAGAGACTCTAGCATTTTAAATTTCGTTTACTCCCACACCAGTTTCCTTAAGTCGACTTTGGGAAGACAATGCGAAGTACAGTGTAATCAAACGTTACATTTACAACATAAAAAAAGGTTATAATTGTAATCTTTTCCAGGACATTTCAAAGTAAACTAGTTTACAACGTATGAAAATAACAGAATATAGCAAGTACATCTTCCGAGAGCATCCCATTACAGCAACTGCTTCTTGTAAGAAGTGTCACTATATGCAGGTCTTCATGGTCTGGGACAGGTCCTCATGTGTGATTCACAACAGGCATTATTACGTCTTTCTACTCTCTAGATACGATAGTTTTCAGATGAAAATGAGTATTTACATTTTGAAATATAAAATGGTTAGTTATCCTTCACTTTGGGCTAATTAGCCCTCACGTTACTAATTGTGGATTCGTCCAATATTGTAGGTGTTCTTCTAACGCCTTCGTGTTCTCTATGTGACATTCGTGAGTAACTAGCCCCTCCCTCTGATATATTGTGTTAGAAATGAACAAATTCACGATGACATCAAACCAAACCTAATTAAGTGTACTGCTTGGGTCAGTTCATCGGGGTGCACTAATGAACAAGTCCATCGCTAATATATACATTTTTGTGTTAATATTATAGAAGAAACTTTTCCACCCTCTTATAATCGGCAGCCTGGTTTTCCCCGCAGACTGTTACAAACCTACTTCATTTTTACAACCTTGCTTTATCCGGGTTTTTCGGTAAGCCACATACGTCGATGTGCTTTCTACGCTTGGTGGAAATCCCTATAAGCCTCTATGGCAATACCGTAATACATTTTGAAAGTGAAGGAAGAAACATTGACTGCATGTTGAGAAGATACCGCCTAGAGTTTATGGGTTGCATACAATTACTGAACATTATCAACTTTTCGATATAATTTGTTGTTCTCTTAGATTTGGAGATCTTATCAAACAGATTCACGGTTTGGACCAGAAAAACTATGCATGAACAGTTCATTTGTCTTCGTTTGCCCATAAATTCATTTTGGAAACTTTCACATCAGCCAACTTATGAATATGAGGAGTGGAATTTACGAGAATTTCTCAAATTTCGCCCAGTAGGTCATGGGTCCATATTGAAACAACCAACACCCTTCACTTCGCCATTTGGAGGCACCAACAATATGTGTAGGGTCTGCATTTTTTTCAGGGTGACTCTGGATAATACATATATAGAAGAACTTTGATTCATTTAAATCTAGTTCCATAAGAGTATGAATTAAGTAAGCAACCTATTTGAAGTTCAATCTCTCGTAAAAGCAACATGTTGTAAAATTTAGGCATGTCACCAGTAAACATGAAATTCAAAGACCAAGAAGATGCAAAACTAATGATTCTACATCACGAATTCGTGTAAACTCATGGCCAATATAATATAGCCATCCTCTTTGTTGGTCTAGCCATGTTCTTATGTGCACATCCTAGGCTCCACATATCTACACCAGGATCCTCAACCTGCACAATATCGATATCTAGAATTGAGTGCTATGTAGTTGAAGATAAGATATCTAAATACTCTATCACACCTGAAAATTATAGTTATGTAAGTACCATATTATTGCGTTGTTATTCAAAAAATTACAGAAATAGATTTATCACATAAATCTTTGAAAACGGATAAAATAAGAAAATTTAAATTAAGATGTTTTTCACAACAAACAGTGCAGAAAAAGATAATGCAAAGTAATCTGTACCAGCAATGAAAATGATCAACTTTCAAACTTTGAAATTTGCAATCCAGAATTTTATGTTAAAATTTTTCATTTAAATATGAAAATATTTATATTGATAATATAATCATAAAAAAATTTGCTGTTAAATTGATTAGATTAAATTTTTCATGAAATACACAAAGTTATTAAACATGTAGAATCCAATATATACATGATAATGACATCAAATTGTGATAACAACTAGGTAATCAACACGAATGTCTATTTTTTACATGTATGTTCAAATTCACATGAATGCAATTACATTTTTAATATTATTTTTAATTAAACATAGAAAATAAAATTGTTTCAACACATCTCTTGAATATTTTTCTCAACCTTCTATGTGTCAATCATGTTATAAGAATAAATAAAATGATATCTCAATCTGATAATTTCTAGAAAATTTATCGAAAGATGAAGATATCAAATTTAAATTTTTAATCTTCAAATGAATATATATTTTTTAAAGTAGAATTTAAAAAAACTGTAGACAAGTTTTCTTTTCTAATGGAGCCAATTTGAAAAAAAATCTACAGATATGAAATCCTAATTATGTAGCAAATCACATGTTCATATTTGATTAATTTTACTAAAAGCCACGAACAATCTGTCCATTGAAAAAGAACTAATTGAATGGTACGCTCATCGGAGAGACACCAATTGAGATTTTATCGAAAATTTGTGTCGCATTATCCAACATCTTTCACATTTCGTTTTGATCCCAATTAATATGATGATAAAAGTAGATAGATCATAGATACTTGTAAAGAAATAATATATATATATATATATCTAAATCTACGGAGCGATACCTTGGAATGGAATCTATATATCCTAGCATATTCTCACTGAATGATATCGACTAGAGAAAGTACCATCCGATATCACGACCAGTCCACTTGCCTCGCTGACGTAAAGTCTTGTAGCGAATGTAGTCACCATAGATCTAATGTACAGTAGTATATCTGGAGTTTAGCCTCCCCATCCAAGGCTGGCACAGGTTTCCATGTAGTACCTATCCTTCTGTATTCGCAATGTCTTTGGGCGAAGCCACTTCTCCATCCTAAAGCCCATCCTCTCATTTGCTACGAGATTAACATCAGAGCGGAGTTAACTGTACTGTTTCAACATACCTTCCAACAGCATTTTGAAACAGAGATCCTGAACACTCACATAATTTGGAAGTTTATGGGTAGGATAATCCTATATATACACGTGTCATATCTGGTAAGACCATATACGGACACGAGTTTTCTTAGTTAATGTCTGATGAAAAATTATGAAACACGTGAAGATTAGATGAGCTCAATGATTATCATCGATCTTAACTTTTCTTCATTTACTACTTTCTGGAGAAATGATGAGGTTAGAGCAATTATATCATGGCGATATCTTGCAATGTTATGAGACCAGTTCGTGAGACGTACGGAACGCAAGGGAATCTAACTGGTCCCCTCTGCTGCGTGGACACATACTTTTGGATGTGGGTTTTATGTAAGTACAAGAGGCTGCAAGTTACAGTCGCTGAAGCATTGGAGACAGGCATGTGCAGTGCTGTTCAGTATCTCCAGGCATCGCTTGCTGTAATGTAAGAACAAGGGATAGGCGGGTAGTGTTTGAAGTGAATTACAATACTTCATGGTTAGCTGTTGTAAATCATGGCTAACATTCTTATCATTTACGGTCACCATCACGAGGATTCTGTGTTAAAAGATTTCGAGCTTCAAGATTCCACAAAATTGGCTCTCACGGTCAGGAGGACTTAATGGGGTTATTAAGATTTATTATGTAAATTCTAAATTTTGACTTGTTTTCTGCACGTACAATGTTATTTCACTAGTTTGAAGTCACTAAAATTCAAAATGTCTGCCTCTGAATATGTTGCCATAGATCTGCATAGTTTCATGCCATTCAGTTATTAAGAAGAAACCATAACATGGCTAGAATCATTGTTAAAATTGTGAAAAGTGGCACAGCTTTCCAAATTTGGATTGGCAACAAAAGCTCCTCCCGCCTGTGGAGGGCTAAATGGACTTTTGGCTAGATCAACCCCGACCGTATATTTCGCGGGTTGACGGTATACGTACACCGTTCGTGGTTCACCGTCACTGGGATTTTCGAGGCGAGGCCGGAGAAAATGTTCGTCTCGCATTTCTTGGAATGCACTTTGCGATGGCGGATCAGCCTAAACCCATACGGTGTGCGAGCCAAGAGCCTTCGTGCCGGGCTCATACTCTTGGATCTTCATCTTTTCTACAGTCCAAGCTTGGAATAGAGTCCAAGTAGACTATGCTATCCCAATGTCTCTGAATTCAACCGAACGCTCCGGCGGTGGAGCACCATCCCATCAAAATTAACAAGAATCACAGAATTCTCGAAAGAAAGGAAGAGCTACGACCCCAAAATAAACGTGTTCTCCCGTGACTTCACGGCAGGTTTGGTATGTACATGCGGGAGTTATTGTCGGGGCCATGGAAATTTACCAGAAGCTGGCAGGATGAATTTTAGTCCTGTAAAGCTGCAACATTTCGAGCACAATGTCAGCTACGGAGCTGTAGGCAGCTAGTCCCTGAAACCGATCTAATCGCCTTTATGAACAGGATGAGTCGATTTCGAGACGTGATTGCATAATACTCGTGCGTGCTTATTTTCCTCATTATTCCGTGGATTCCTTATCAGAAGTGACTGCCGTGTCTGAGGAATGACCCCCCTACCTGGGTGCATGAATTCTAATCTTGTGAACCCTAAACCCTCTAATCGACAAAGCAGCTACGGAGCAGCCAGCGCTTTACCGCTGAGAATCGAAGTTCATGTTGAACAAATGCATCGAACGGCTTCTAGAGGGTGCGAGCTCGGCGGGTGAGTACTTCACGCGACGGTGACAAAGGAGAGACCGTCACAACGGTGACCGTATGCCGTCAGCCCACAGGCATACGGTCGGGGTTGATCTAGCCTGCAGTGAGCCAAGCGTAGGCTTTACTCTTCCTTTAAGTATAGATTCCCAGTTAAATCATTACAGGTTTAGGGTTTACATGGCGTCTCTACAGGTCTATCACAAACTGGGTTCCGAGTTATATCCAACACGTGAGATTTAACTGCTTTATGACAAAGAGCAATAGACATGAAATCCGTCTACTGTATTCTCAATCTCCCTAATATCTATTAAAGACTTGATGAAAGTGTATTTACAGTACATTAAGTGCAATTGTGTACTTCACTTTATACGCTGTACAAACAGTTCTCTGTCACAGGCTTGACGCTGTTTAATTTGCTAATTTCATAGTGCGAGAGAGAAGGGCTCAGTGCTGTGAAGAAATAACCTGTCTAATTACTGTAGTTTTGTGCTTGCGCAGTGAACAACTGCTATGTTTGGTCACCGTGCCATCCACGTCGGAGGAAGTTTTGGCCTGAACCATGTGCACATAGGAATGGTCTACTGCTGTGTAGATAGAGTCTTCCACTTGTTTGTGTTCCTCCGGTTACACCTCCCCCTGTGTCTACATGTGTTTAGACCTCAGGAATAAAAGGCAGTTTTTGATAAGCAATACGTACCTCAAGCAAGCACCATGAACATGTGATTTGCTTGATTAGGGTAGTTTTGTCACCTTCGTAGACATGTAAAATCTTATTTAAATAGGACTCAGCCAAGCTGGGACGATTTACATGCGGCTTTGAAGGAAACTGGCGCAACAAGGCCTTCGAGGTGAGTTTGCCCGAGCATGGCTAAAAAATGAAGAAAGTTGATGAACTGCGTTGTTGTGTTTGTCTCTACAACCGAGCCGAATTATTATAAAGTGACTTAAAACCATGTCTAGTTAAATATGAAGAGCAGCGAGTTCCAAAGGAACTATACTCCAGATATACATGAAAAAGCTCGCGCAACGATGTGATATAAAGCACATGACTCCAAGGGCTTGCTTGTAGTCTTTGCCCTCATTGTGGTGGTCATATTTCCCTTTTCGGCGTCCTATCAAGTAATAACATCTTTTCTGAGCATAGTTTAATCCGGCAAAGAGAGCAGGATAAAGGGAAAGTATCAGGTATAAGATCAGAACTGGAACTAATATGAAAGGAAGGAAAAAGCCAACAAGAACGAATAAGTCGACGTGGGAAAAAAATGGTGAGATTGAGATCTAAGTTTGTCTAAACCGCTCAGGATTTCAGTCCCTAGGTTTTGGTCTTCACTTGAAACGTTTTTGTTTCGTAAAAACTACCGAGATCGGGATTTACAACAACTTGCCAAGGGCAATATTCCGGCACCTTTGATCCTCGGCATCAGCGATTTCCATGAAGTTCACAGGGGTTCAAAAACGCAGAAGTCTAGCAGTCCTGACGATGGTTTAGGTTGGATATACTTTACTCTATCCGTTTTTGCCAAACCATTTAGAGTTAAACTTTACAATAGTGTCATCTAGTGATATCCAAAAAACCATTAGATTATAACGAGTAAATCTGTCTAATAATAACAATATGTCACTAAATGATACTATTGAATAATGACAATTCCTACCATGATTCAAGTCTCAGAAGAGTGTAGTGTAACATACTTTATTTAAACATACATCTTCACAGTTTACTCTTTCTAGGTTTAAGTAAAATACTTTACTACATATGGTGTCATTGATTGTTTCAATTAAATTTTTATGCATGTATTTGTATTCAAATGCGATAATAATATCAACATTCATAGTCATGGACAATACAAAATAGAGAATGAATGAGATTTTGTAGCCAAACAACTAACTTACAAACTATTCTAAGTGGATGGAACTTACGATAAGATTGTTGCATACATTATTTTTGTGAGTGACAGCTCCCAAGAGTGACGTCCAACCCTAGTATCAATGTAAGTCATTATTGGAAAGTGATAAGATTGTTGCATACATTATTTTTGTGAGTGACGTCCAACCCTAGTATCAATGTATGTCATTATTGGAAAGTGATATTCAAGCATGTGCACTTTACTCTTGTGAATGACAACTTCCAACACTGACGTCACTGATAAGTGTATGTCACTATTGGAAAGTGATACTCAAGGACGTGCACTTTACTCTTGTGAATGAGTATTCCCAATAGTGACATACAACCCTAGCATCAATGCATGTCACGATTGTAAAATAATATTCAATTTTGTGCACTTTATTCTTGGGAGTGACAACTCACAATAGTGCCGTACAACCCTAGCATCAATGTATATCACTGTTGTAAAATGATACTCTAGGCTGTACACTTTACTCTACGACTTTACTACTTTACGACAACTCCCAATAATGACTTCGAACCCTATTGGGAGGTTAAACTCTGTGTGTACGTACCTTTAGTTCTACATACCCTAACGAAACATTTCTTCTTTGCATTTTAGAAAATAGGCGAGGGATTTCTGGCGGATGAGGGTGATACAAAATATGATGTTTATATCTGTCCATCTACTTCGATTTTCTTTTGCGTTTTCGTAAATGAAACATTCACATTGCAACGCTATAACGGCTAGCCTCTTACTAACCCCTTGGTTTCATCACTCTAGGACCTGATAGGATTTTCCTATAATTCTTGCTATCTTTCTTGCTCCTCTTCCCATTCATGATGCAACGTGTGCAAGCTTATCGTGCCCTATATTTTTGCTATATAACTCGGTTTTCTCCCCTTTTTAGGCCTTACGCACAATCTGAAACCTATTTCTCTTCTTACATATAAATAAGTCAAATAAGAAAGAACCCTCGAGTGTATTAACTATCGAGTCCGTCTGGCAAGGTGAAATTCTTTGCTCCAGCCCGTCGAACTTCGTGGAGCGTCCATTTGAATGCTGTTTTGGAAATTTGGAGGGAAGAAGAGCGGAGGTGACACTGTCCTTCTGACCTAATTCAGGTATAAATAAATTACGAGGTAATGATGAGGTGTGGACGGCTATCGAGGAGGATACCACGGCGATAGCAGAGAATCGTGGAGGAGACTGCCAATTGGCGAGTAAAGAGGAATTTCGCACACCAAGGGTTCTGCCCTGATGCTGCATGACATATATGTCTAAGCGCTTCCAGAGGCAAGTTGCAGTACTGTACAGGAGGCCTCTATGCGTGGACTCTGTTATTCAGGTTGATATTATTAGACATAAGGAGATGGAAGACAGTCTTGTAATCCATGCCCAATCAAGCGAGTTAGGTAGACAAGCCATCCAAAGGACACATTGACCCGATATGGATGCGAAGCTCCCTGGTGACCTGTCATTGGTCTGGACCGAATATTAGACACACATCCTCTGCTGTAAATGTTATCAGCAGGAACACTTAGGATGTGCGAAGATTACGCGGGTCAATTATTTAAACAGACACTGCACACAAATTTTAAAGGCGTCTCTGCTATTCATACGTTCAATTGTCAATGCTATGCAGCAGTCTCAACCCTTTGGACAATGATTAAATACTCTGACTCGGATCCAGAAAAAACAGACAAAATCGAAGTATTGATGTAGGTGTACGGAAATTTCTAGTGGAGTCTGTGAGGAACAGACGACGCTGTCTCGGAGGAGCTAGCACTCTACAATCTGGAAACCTTCGATAGAATTCATAATTTCGGAGCTGAACTTTCTTTGCAGGAGTGGTGAATGATGTTTGTAAGTGATTCCGACTTTCATTATGACTAAATTAATACGAATCACATCACATGCAAACTGTGTCAAGGATTGAGAAACAGTGTCTGCCAAATTCTTTGCAGCATCTTGTCTACAGATACGAGCCATGAGCTCTTACTGACGTATGCCAAGCTTCATGAGGCAATGTGAAGAAAAGTGCCGCGTTCGCTCTGCGTGTGTGTTCATTCGGCTATTTTGATGGAAGAGACAAACCACTTGTAGGAAAGACTAGTGATGCGAACGTTGATCCGAGTAGATTTCTTAGGACTACGAGAGCGAAGACAAAATTGGGCTGTTGAGCATTCTTCCGAGCGAATGCCATTCAAGAGAATGCTTCGTGGAGAGATTAGAGTGGTAGAGAGAGAGGAGACACTATTTCATCTTTCTAGAGAATGCTCAAACAGAGCTACCGAGGCATCCATGCCGAAGCAGACTGTAAGAGCTTGAAACTTTGTTTCCAGCGTCTGTAACTCCTCGTTTCCTCGCCCTGTTCACCGACGACCTAGGACATTCTGGTGTAGCTTGGAGACTTTTCTGGACAACTTACGGGCGCTGCCTTTGTGTAAGTTGACACATGTTGCTAGTTCAAATTCTGATTTGTCCTCCATCACACGATTCCGATGCCTTCGCTTTTTTGCAAAATTAAAGACATGTAAGAATCTCCGGATTCGGACCGGAGATTCTCCTAGTTCTGACGTGATTTCAAAACTGCACTTAGTTGTTGATTTCCTAATGATGGACGATGCTTACCGTGCAGACGAAAGGTGAGCAAATTGAGAAGCAGGAAAAAGGACACACAGGCCTTTGCTTGCATAAGAGACTGGAGAACAGTGGTCCGAGTCCTGGGTCTTCTGTCAAGCCGACTATCTACCGCGTGTCCGCTGTAGGATCAGTGAGACTTGTCAACCCTATCTGCCATCGACTGAACTCATGTTCGTCGCTCGCGATGGGTCGATCTTACTGATTCGGCTTTTTAAGTTGTTGTTCGTCTGAGGGTGCTCTTACTCTCTAGTTGCCAACGTCTCGTGCGGCAGCTACTTTCTTGCGTGGTGACCGGGTATTTCGTGGCTGCTTGCCCGTGTCCGAAGATCCTTCGAGCGTGGTACGTGAAGAACATCTCAGACCATGGCTGTGCACTTGAAAATGCGCTATCTGAACATCAAGCAGGGGATTGTATAAGACTTCTGCACGTATAGGACAGGAAGGTCGGAGTTTCTGCTTGTCATTGGAGCTCTCCCCTTTTTTTCGAGCAAGGGAGACGAAATCGAAGGCAGTCAACATTTGCCCTTCTTAATTAGGTCCAGCTCGCAGGTGTTTTTTCAGTTGCACAACATTTGGGGAACGATGGAAGCAAAGTTCACGAGGTTGGCTGCTTTCTCGAGGCTTGTTTTAATATGCCTTGTGCTGTGCGAAGTGTTGAAGCCGGTGGGAGGTGCAAAGTTTGTTGTGGGGGCAAACTTTGTGAGCGGTGCTCTTTGGACAAATGACCCGGGTCCAAGTCACAGCAATACGACTCTGGTCGAACAGTACGAGATGTGGGCCAAATCCGTCAAGATTTCAGTCGGGGACACACTCCAATTTTTGTATGATGATTCTCACACGGTTGTTTTGGTTTCTACGAAAGAGATGTATGACTCGTGCAATTATGCAACTTACACGGATGTGACTAGTCCAACTCCTCCCACACTATATATCGTCAATGACACTCAGCCTCTGTACTTTGTATGCTCAATTGACAAGCATTGTGCAGAAGGCCAGAAAGTAGCTATTACAAATATTTTACCTGCTAGTAGCCCTACTCCATCCGTGTATCCTGCACCGCCCCCGGCCTTTTCAAATGGAGGACGACTTATGGGGTCACTTGACAGATTGCGCTCATGTTGGACAGTAGCTTCATCTACGTTTATGTTTCTTTTAAGTATTACTTAAGCCATTGACTGTTTCAATTTCAATTTCCCTTGTACAGGGCGTGAGGCTAACCAAACACTTTAATTCGATTTAGCCGCACAGTGTTGTGAATCCATGTTTTCGTCAGCGAACATGTAGAGAAGACGAAGGTTCCGACACATGGTCGGCATTTGCAGAGATTCTTCCCTGTGTCTACTGGGGTTTTAAATTCGTCGGAAATAAGAACTTTGTCTCTCCTTAACTCTTGACAACTTCTCTCAATATTTGTAGAGTAACAGATGTTACCTACACATCACGCAGCTGACCGCCATATGGTTTTCAAGGGAAGTGCATTTCTTGATAATGAAGGAAGTGTAATATCAAATGGGTCTGTTTATGAATCCATATCATACGTCACTTTCAAAGTGACGTATGATATGAAAGTTCGTTTTGTGCTGAATTCTTCGAGGCTCGAATCTGAACATTTGGATTCCGAAGTTGACAATGTACTTGGTACTTATGTACGCAAATGTTTTTCGTTTCTTTGTTTGCGGTCATCGGTAAAGTTGATTCTTTCATCCATATCTCTAATTTCTTAGTCAGTTTAGATTTAGCCTGACTGAGCTTGCAGACTGTTGACTGGTGGTTGCGATCCTGAATGTTCCAATTAAAACCTGCTGCTGGATTCGTCCGTGGTTGAATTCTTCTGTTATCATATCTATCAAGTAGTTTATCTTCAACTCGTGCTTTCAGCACTGACCTATCTACACATACTAGAATGTCGTCTGAGATGGATGTAACACAAGCAATTCTTTACTCATTTCACCGAAATACCTTGAGCTCTTTGTTCTGCGGAGTCCGTGAACGAGGTCGCATCTCTTCACTCTTTTCACCTGAATGAATTTGAACTGATGATGATCTGGACCAGATGATCATTGCAGTGATCATCTGGACCAGAATATTCAAATGTTCTATGAGTGGAGTCTAAACATTTGAATGTTAGTGGGAGAGAAAATCGAAAAACTACTATATTTGATAAGACATTTAGTGAGTTTTCACTTCGTCTTGGCTTTCGGATCAAGTAAACACTTTCTCCTCACATCAAGACGTGTAGATTTAACTTCCACTCACGAGGACACAAAGCAAGACCTTCTTACTCACATTTTTTAATGCTACGAAATAAACTCAAATTCAATGCCAATGAGACAATCACCTTAACATACTATCCTTCTACCACGGAAGAAAATATCTGTTCGCAGTTTGGTACACAAGTAACTTCTGGAGGTCCTAAATCCAGCCTATACAGCCAAATTAAACCATGCACAAGTTTCCTAAAGCTATAATCTACTTTGTGTACTCTATCTGTAGTCTTGAACCCATGCCTATGTTCCGGCGACCGTCTGTAGTATCTAATCTTACTTCCTGTATGAACACAAAATAAAAAGATTTCGGATGTTGTAACAGTCAACCATTGAATCAACTATGCCCGCTATAACCTCTTAGATTTAGCCGCAGTGCAGATTGCAAGTGAACTCTCCAGTCATTGAAATGTTCACATCTCGGATTCGCGATCGCTTGGAAATATTTGTTTAGTCTGCATGCGATGTTTGGCGCATCGCTCAATTCTTCTCTTGCGACTCTCTTTAGTAACTCCGAAAGATCCTATCAAATCTTGCAGTTGATTGAGTTTGTCTTCCTCCAGTGAGACCCTCTCCATACAAGTCTACGTGCAATTACTTCCAATCTTAATCAGTTTTTCGTCTTCGGCAACAGATCCTTAAGTTCCACTATCTTTTAAATCCAAAATCAGATCTCAGCTTTTGAAACCTTTGGACTTTATCTTCTTGAGATTTTGACTTCCTTGACGCTTTGACTTGGGCATCATATTGCAGGTGGAGCTAATAGACTGCAGCAAATAGTTCTTAAAAAATATCAGCCCGATGTAGATGGCTTGAAACGCTGGATCCATGACCCGGATTTCCTCAGTGTATCTGGGATGAAAGTATTTTGGACATAGCTCTCACAATTACACGAAGGTGGGACAAGTACCATATAGATCATCCATTTCATAGTAGGCCTCGGCAAGGTGAAATACCTTTTACTCAAGGGTAAAAGGTAAAAGTATGAAGATTATCAATGGGTGAGTTACAGGTTAGAGTAAAGGTAATGTCCATTTATTTACCCATTACCCGAGTAAATAACTCTTAAGTTAGCAATATTCATATGTCGGATTTTTTATACATAACAAAACTTATGGCTTCTAGAATAGTGATTATAAATAAAGGTTTAATTCTATATAAGAGCAAAAGTGTTGACATGTCTTCCAGTTGTAAGATATGCTAAGATTGTTAATTTATCGACATAAATAATACAATTGTCTAATGGTGCTCAAGCTTTCCCTGTATATATTTTAAGTCATCTTTTGAATAAAAGAATAGGTTAAGAATAGAAAATGATGAAGGATTTACATTCTTCATAAACAGTTTTTTCATGTTTTATATCGAAAGATTTTAGAAAATTATAAAAAAATAAAATTTACACATCTTATATATATTATTTAGATAATAAATTAACCTTTTCACTTATTATTGGCAAACTGATAATCTCTGTACTCATTGGAAATTAAGAGAATCAAATATTGATGTTCAGAAGTTGTCATTAGAAACTATCATCATATGCAACTGTTTAGCGATTAAAAATGTATTTTTTTGGGTAATTATTTGATTAACGGATAAATTAAAGAGAAAGTGTATTTTTTTATTGGACAATTACCCGTTTAACAGGTAAAGTAAAGGTAAAGTGTATTTTTAAATTTTATTGGATAATTACCCGGTTAAAGGGGTAAAGTAAAGCGCGACCAATGTGGTAAGGGTAGGGGTAGAGTAAAGGTAGAACACATTTTATTACCCGTTTAACTTTTACCTTGCAGAGGCCTATTTCATAGTCCTCATCTTGGGTCCTGAGGGTTTTGGATTGGCTTTGGACAATGTTACTTCGTGCACTTGACAATTCTGTATCGCGTGCAAGATCCAAACCTTTTGGTCCAAAGAGCTCCGGATGAGTGTTAGTCGGAGTTTCGGCCTTGCGCGATTTTCCAATGGAACCCAAACCTACATAGAATCCCACGTGTTCTTCTGATATCATTTTGGAAAGATTTTGAGTCTTTGGACAAGCATATTAAGTTTGGTATTGTTCGTTGCTACAACTTCATGAGTGTTCGTTTATGAGAGAAAGAGGTACTGGATCTTGAAGTGTCGGCTTCATGGACACGTGATACTTTTGATACTTTTGACACTCCACCGGTCGTAATAACCCCATGCACACATATATGTTTAAATAAACAAAATATAAACTACATCATTCTCATTGTTATATTTTCTGTCCTAATCTGCGCATTGTATGCAAAGATTTTTCTTTAATTCATCGTAAAAAATTGTGCCACGAAGTTCTCTCAGTCATTTCAATGTAATAGAGATTTAGAAAAAATGCTTTTCCCCAAACAAAAAAAAACTACTGATTCAAGATGGAAGCCACTTTGAATAAGATTTTTTGCAAGAAAGTGAGAATTTTTTTCTTGCAAAAATCATCTCTAAATAAATCACCTCTGAACTTATTCAAACCCCATCTTTTCTCCTCACCACTGATCAAGGTTATTCTTAATCAGCGACAGACCCTCGTCTTCAGAATCGGACTCATCTCGCTGAAGTTTATTATTCCCTTTGAGCGCTTGAGACTACAAGACAGTGATTCAAGTGTTCTAATGTTCTTGCCAACTTAATAGAATGAGTTTTTGAACACTTCTCCATAAAGCTTGAGACAAATGTAATCTCAAAACGAAGCCAAGAGAAGTCGTTCTATCATTTTCAATCGTCGCAATTCTTAAAACATCCAATCTTGATTTTGATCAAACTGACAATACGTTCTTCATAACATTTCAAATTGAGCAAGATGTATGCATATTCAGCAATGACGCCTTTTTTTAAAGATTTTAATTTGAGCGTTTCTTGCTGAAAATCACCGACATCATCGTAAAACCTCGTATGCGTCACACTTGCTTACTCGACAATCATTTCTCCTCGAGGCTTTGACCTTGATATGCTTTTTAAATTTATGCGGTTTGCGCGTGCAAATTTCGAATTAAAAATGCCGTACTCAATTGACTAACCGCAAAAGTAGATTGAGATCCCCTAAACCCTAAAGACCGAGTAACGACCCCTTGTAAGATACAAATTCTAGACAGTGTATAAGGGGTTTGTTTGACAAATCAGTTTGAAACATATTGGTCTGTATATTGAGACGTAGTGTACTGTAGCTATCTAGTTGTAGGTAGGTGTTGGGTTAATGTAATATTGTTCCTTTCCGTTGTATGCCATAAATATACTTCAACAGAATTTGAGCGGGGTGAGCTTCTTCTACTTCATGCTAGAATAACCCCGACCGTATTCTCTCCGGGCTGACGGCGTACGTACACCGTTCGGGTTTCACAGTCACCGTCATCCTTCGGGTTTCACCGTCACCGTCAACCAGTGGTTTCATGTTTCGCCCTCAAGACAACTCCGGCCGACCTTTTCGTCTAGCATTTCTTTCTCTCGGATTGGCGATGACGGATCGGGCGACCTTGGAGGTGGAGATTTGATGAATGCAGAAATCATTTGTCGAATGATTTCATTCTGCACCACCTTGCCATGCACGTCGATTCCAAGGAATTGCCGAGGTTCAGCGAGCTAAATGTCTCAGAATGTACTAAGGAAGACTGAACAAGCCGCTTCTGTGTCCCGCACACGGTATTCTTTAGTAAAAGCGAAAGAATAGTTAGCTCTGGGCTGAAGACACTGATGAGATTACCAGCCGAAGATCCAAGAAATTGAACCCCGCACTGACGCTCTTGACGCGCACACTGTTCCATCACGCCGACACGTGTCTCACATCGACTATCTGTGTGTCGAATTTATTTCCGGAATGTGCGCGTTGGACGGGTGACTTCTTGACGCGACGGTGACAAACGAGAGACCGTCACGACGGTGACCGTATGCCGTCGGCCCACAGACATACGGTCGGGGTTGTTCTAGCCTGCAGCCTTCTTACAGCCATCGGCCTTGTGTGATCTATCTGTCTTTCTTCCATTAAATCATGGTGTACTCACATTTTGAGCTCTGTCAGTGGCTTTTGGAGGTGTTTGTTCTGTTGTAACTAAATTTTGCTCCTCTTTATAACCAAATGCTGGATAATAGATTCATGTCGTTCTGCAAGGATTATGATCTTTCTTTCTTGTGAAAGTGTCATGCCTTGCACCACAAGCTACACGGTGAGAATTTGAAGAAACTGGAACAGCTAGATCCCTAAACTGATTTGTGTAGGGGAATAAAAATATCAGATTTCATAACACATTTCAGATCATCTTGATCC